GCAGGTTTGCCTGGTAAAGGTATGAATGAGAAAGAATGTCTTAACAGTTCATATCTTTTCTATATTAGTATGATTCCGTAATTACATTTGTTGCCCAGAAGTATAAACATGGGGACCATTGTTTTTATATTCTATTTCAGCTCCAAAGAGACAGAAAATGAAATTAAGAGTCAAAGAAGAAAGCTATTACCCATGATAACCACGCCTCAAGGAGATAACCACCTCACCACGGTCTCGTCGGCGGTGAGTCCTAACCTGTCTCTTGTGTGTGTGTGTGTGTGTGTGTGTTTATAGACTTTAGCACATGTGTAGTAGTGTAATCCATGCCATAGAATGTTTCGCAGAAGGTAGTTCGCATATCACCACCCAATAAAAGTTAACTAACGAGAATATTTTTAGAGGAAGACAAAGTCAATGACACCCATGAATATCTTTTACTGCAGATGCCTCCCGAGTTGTTGTCAGCGATGAAGAAAATGTTGGACCCGCAGTATGTGAAAAGGCTGTTTGACAGCATAGATGACATGGGGTTTGAGGTGAGTATGGAGGCCAAGATGACAGCGACCAAGCCGGAGTGGAAAGAGGAGGAGGAGGAGGCATTTCCACAGCGGAATCACGATGCATCAGTGCCAGGTGCCAAAAATCTGAGCAGAGACCAAGAGGTTTCTGCTGAATTCGGAGTATCTAAAAATTCGAAGAAGAGAGCCTTGGAGGGAACGTTTTCCCCTCAACCAAAGAAATTCTGCACCTCAGAATTCTTCCGCGGGCAGGAGGTCTTACTCAGTACAAATTCCATCTCGGAGCAGAACCAGAGCTTTCGCCAGTCGACCTTCAGTCATTCCAGCTCGCCCGTCTATGGAAGTCACAATTCCTCACTGCTCGCTTCTCCTCCGCAGAACATTGTCTGTGACATGAGTCGCGCCAAGCAAGACCCGGACTTGCGTTCTTATTATGATTCTGTCTTGCCCCAACCTCCTCGCTCATCAGAAGGCGGCGGCTCAGTACGCGGCCTCCTTCCCCCGGAGCCCAGAAAAGGGTTCCACCACGACCACAGTGCTCAAAACACATCAACGAATCAGGGTAAAGATTGCCATGGCGGAGGGGGGGTTTCAAACATTGAGAATCAGGTGGGTGACGCTGCCTTCTCGAACCAGGGCTTTCAGAACAACCCGAAGTGTGTCGAAAGCCCTCGCTCTTATCGCCAGTCTGAGGCTAACAGTTCACCCATGTATCCGTCGATAGCTGCTCAGAATCACCATTTCCCTCATAATTCGCCATCGCTTATCCATTCACCACAAGCAAGAACTTTTCCTCAAGGAGAACAATCTGTTGTTCCATCATTCCCACACACAAATCAGACAGACCAAAATTTCCACTTTTCGTCTCGAATGGAGGTTCTGATCAGCACCCAACGGCACCAACAGCAGTACATGCAGCAATCAGAACGACAGCAGCTACAGCTGAAACAAGAGTCTTTAAAACAGCAAGATGCAGCGCAAAATCACCAAGATCAGCATCGACAGCATTCCCAACAAAATCAGCAAACTCAACAATTAAATTATCAGGTGCATATCAATTGTCAGCAGTCATTGCAGAATTACCAACCAGGTAGATCGTACCAACAAACAAGACAATTGCAGGAGCAACATCAAAAAACAGGACATCAGTTTCAACCTGGAGCAATATACCAACAATCTATACAAACCGAGCACTCAGTACAACCCCAATCATCAGAACTGCATCTCAAACAATTAGGTTTGTGTCAGCAGCCGGATATGCAGCATCAACAACAAGACATGCATCCTCTGCAGTTAAGACAGCAAAACCAAATGGAACTGCAGCATCAGCATTCCAGGCATCAACAATCTGAACAGCAATACCAGCAGACGAGACACCAGCCGTCAGACCCGCACCACCAACAGAAAAGACATCAGCATCATTTACACCAACAACAGTCACGACAGATTCAGTACATGAGCCATCAGGCACAGGATCGTCCTCAGACACAACTAAACGCGAATGGACGTGGACAGGCGTTTCCTTCTGGGCAGATCCAGCAAAATCCTTCTCTTCAGCAGTGGCATTCCAGTTCTGCGTTCTGTCACACGCAAAATCAGAGTAATTATCGTCTCCTCAAGTAATCGTCCTTTTAAACAAAGTATAAACTTGGATCTGGTTGGCTTGAATACTCATGTCATGTATTCATTTTTTTCGGAAATCCTGGAAAGCAAGTGATTACTTTGATTTTCTCTCATTATCCCTTACAGATGGAAATTATGGACTGTATGACCCCTTATCAATTGCGTCCTCTTCAAGCATGCATCACCCAGGCTCCACGACCATTCAGACCAAGTCCTCGGGTAAGTAATAGAAATGTGTGTGTGTGTGTGTGTGTGCGTGTGTGTGTGTGTGTGCGTGTGTGTGTGTGTGTGTTTTAGAAAAAAAAGAGGGTAGATTTTCAAAAAATAACTATTACTCTCTTGAATTTATCTATCTTGGT